GTACTTCGTGATGCCCGATTTCTGCCCGATATTGTCTCACTCTCACGTGTAAGAGGGGGAGATCACTCGGGCCTGCATGAAAAAGACACCCATGTGCATTTCAAGATCGTCATAGATGTCTCGATCATACAGATAGCTATGGACGCACAGGGTAATTTTGAGGCCATCAAGCTTAAACTTTGAATCGTAAGTTGAGCTACGGAGTCGGGTTGTGTGTGGAAACATGTACCTAGACATGCGAGAGACGTTCCATGGCACACGGCAATGCTACGCAAGATGCTGCCCATATGGCGCATATCTTGCAGTACCATCACGGTTTACGAGCCGCGTAGCCTTGCGCGAAGCTTTAGAATTCATTAAGCAAGATGGAGATATCGAGACAACTTAGCCTCCCTCTCACTTGACAGAGCACCAACGCTGTCCGATAGTCATGCCGCTTGACTAACTACGGAGGATTCTCTCGGTCCCAAGGTGCCAAACTTCCTCCTCTTGACCGCTGGATTCTTCGGGTTCATTTGATTGATTCCAACATAGCTTCTGCCCGAGGTCCACCAACTCACGCTCGGCCCCGACGAAACTACGGCTGCGGTGTAACCTCGATGAAGGCGGTGATCTACCATCTGCCGGAGCGACCGCGTCAAGCCCCGTTTGCGAGATCTATCATCCACTTCAAAGTATTCCAAGATCGCTCGTCTCAGGCACAAGCGCTACTTGGACTGGGAGGCCGAGCTTTGTATAGATCCACTAGGCTTTCGGGAACCCTCATGAGAGGAAGGGGTAGACGGGGTCTTCGTTGTTTGCTATCACTCGTAGTTTTCTGCGTCTTGTTAGCGATGATAAGGCTGTACATCATCTGGCACCTTCATCAAACTCTGAAAAGGTAGAATTCTGAAAAGTGCCGCTGGTGATCATGATCAGCTTGGGGTATGGGACGTCGTCACCGCTCATCGTACCCTCGCAGTGATGCCCTTGTCAATGTGCCGAGGCAATGGAACGGGAGATGTGGTAGATGGAGGACAGGAGGGTCGCAATGGGTTGTTGAGATGGGCAAGAAGAACTACCTCTTCCTGAGCGAACGAACATCGCCCTTGAGCATAGGTATTCCTCCTCAGTGCGTGCCTGCCCAGTCTTCAAGGCTACACATGCCATAGCCATTGCTGCAAACGCAGCTCGTTCCAAACACACACTCTCGTGCTAAGCCAGCAAAGGCAACATAACAACAAAGCTACCCCTCAGTCAAGGGCTCGACCACCGAGCGGTCTGCCCCTGGGATCCGAGACCTGAGGTCGAGATTCAAGATGCCCCGCGCCCCCGTCGCCGAACGGACTTACCCGCCGATTCGGTCGATGACCAACTGTAGCATCGATCATCAGGGGCTACGAGAAATCGCTGCACGGAGAAAGGCTGGGTAGGCGGGGACCACGCCAGGCGCGCCTTAGCGTCCACGATCGACGCATCGTTCCATAGCTCGGTGCCGCTTCTCCTTATGTCTTCTGCACGGGTAAGTCGATCGGGCGCATTCCCCAAATGCAAGCGCCCGCGTGCCCATGAGAGGGAGGGCATGGAGGGGTAAAGCCAGGGGCGCCGACGGCTGCATTGACCTGAAAGACACGCGGCGAGAAGCTATTGAAAGACAGCTCGTATGAGGGGCCTAGCTTAGGACAATGAGCCGCGGCTTCGTTTGAGTCTCGAGTTCAGGCTAGAGTTGACAAGCACAAGCCGGATGGTTGCCCAAAGGGCGGGCAAGCTAGGAATGTCAACAAGCACTGACAACTACAGGAGCAAGCTCAGAATTAGGTAGCAAGCCCAACAAAAGCTTGACGGCATAGCTCTAGAGCGGCGGCGGGGCCACAGGTTACTCCGAGGCTCATGTCCTGACGACGCTAGGCCCCGCTGATTGACATAACACTGCCTTACCTTATTGAGTGGAATGCGGATATGTAGGAGTGTCTAGGAATGAGACGTGCCCAGCCGAGGGGCAGAAGAGGGGTAATAATCGGGTTTCTCAAGGTCCGCAGTGGTGGCTTGATTGCTTCAGGTACAAGATGGATGGCGAAAGCAATAACTGACGGGGTTTTCGAGATGTCGTTGTTGTGACGTAGTTCCCGTGGGATGTTTTCGGATTCGGGGAGTCGGACAATGGGAGTACGGTACGAGCAAACCGGGAGGAGGCAAACGTCGCGACGAGGGGCACGAGATCAAAAGCTGGTGGTGTAAGCAAAGATCTGAAGGAGTGGATATGATGTGCGACGCGGCTCAGCAAAAATTCCGCATGTTGTGATGCACGTATTCTGTCAACCGAATTGATGGCGAGGTAAGACGGTACGAACAGATTCGCCTGATGCTCTCCTGTAAGAAAGTACTTGCTCTGTTGGGAAATGCATCGGTCTTTTTCTCGCATCGTATTCGTCCGTTCAGGGGGCAAAGCTGGCCGATGCCGCCATTGTGGCATCACATGAGACGCAGCGTGGAGAACCCCCCTTCCTGCAGGACAAGCAGCTGCCTTTGACCGGAGGAGAATGTCCGAGCATGAAGCTGAGTGTGCAATAAAATAAGTATTGTAGGTGTCCATACGGGGCAGCAGGAGCCTGAGGAAGGAGAGGGAGACGTCGGGACTTCTTCCGCATCATGTTGTGATTGTTCCCAGTGGCTCGTTCATCAGCCAAGGGCAGGGATCTCGATGACATACAGTCGTGTTGCTGTGGAGGGGCGAATCGGGAAACAGTCAACTGTTTCGTAGGTTGCGGGAATTTGCCGGGCTGCGCAAGTGCAAATTGAAACCCGCATCTTGCCGCATCCAGACTCCAGACTCCAGACTCCAGAAGGCAGAGGGGCAGACGCGGACGCAGCGGGTTGGCAGCGGGTTGGCAGCGACGATGTCTGGATTCTCGAACGCTTTGGGCGGTCCAGAACGGTCCTTGAGTGTGTTGCTAGACCCAAAGCACAAAGCTACCTGGCAGTGTCGTCACTACGCATGGAGCTCTGTTGCTACACGGCGAATCAGCAACACGGTGGTTGGCGCTGTCCAGTAGGCTTCTTGATCTGTGCTCACCCGGTGAAGCTGAGTTCGTGTGGTTGATGCTTGTTCAAAGCTCTGTCCCGTCGAATGTGCCTTTGCTTTCATCGTGTGATCCACTGTGGCTGCGAGCCTGCTTGGCTTCTTGGGTGAGAATGTGGAGGTGCTTTCCAATATTGGGAGATGATGTCCCCCAAGTGGGTGGGGAAAGTAGACGGCATGATCGAGATTTGCAAAATGCCATGCTCCAGGCAAAGAAGACGTGTTGGCTGGTTGGCTGGCCACTGGGAGCAATCGACAAACTGACGTATTTTGCCGTCCAGCATTACGCGACTGACGCGAGAATGGAGATGTCTTCTTTGCATGTGGCAATGGATGTCTTTGCTGCAAACGCCGATGGGCCAGCGACAATGCAAGTCGTGCACCTTGGAAAAGTGGGGTCTTATGTGGCATCGGACCGCACAAAACTTAGAGTAGGTACGTACCGCGGGATGCTGGAAGTAGAAGCCCAGGTGCCAGCCTCAATTGGAGGTCCAGATCTACCTATGCGGGGACACTACAAATCCCGTACCCTACCCACCTAGGTATGACGTTAGTGCATCTACGTTTCCCTGACGTCACTTAGGGAATGCACGGTAGACGGATTGCCCAAAGCTCCTACCAGAGCTGTAGCTCTCCCCATCTGTGGCTGGTGAGACTGCACCCAAACAGACAAGCTCCGCATGGAGCCACTGGGAACCACCTGGGCCACCTCTTGCCTCTTGGTCATTTTCGATAGAGATCTCCCGTTGGCTCCTGGGCATTGGCCATAAGATCCATCTTCAGCTCCCACTAACTGGAGTAACTGCGAAGAAAGTCACAGTCTATGACGACATTTCTTCAGTTCACATGATAGACCCTGAGCGTCTTTGCCAGATGGGGTGAAACTGCGCTCTAGCCACGAGTAGACAAGCTCATGAGGAGGGGCAAGACACGCGCAGGGAGAGACAAGCCCGATAGGCACGGCCCAAAGTATTGCATTCGGGAAGGGATCAAACGAGGGGGAGGGGCAGAAGCAGACGTGACGGAGGGGCAGCCCGCGAGGTACCTTCCCATGCTGTGCTAGAGCGAGAGGTACTCCCTTCCTCTTGCTCTTTCCCATCCATGAGGTGGATGCCACTTTGACGGGAATGATCGAACTCAACCTGTCAGGGGGGCAACTTCCGCAAGGCAGGAAGGCACCAGGCCGCAAAGAGGCAGTAGCTAGGCAGTAGCTGCCTTCCGTCTTGACGGGAGGGCGCCTCGAGAGGGTGCTTCCAACTTGTTATATAAACCTCTTCTTCCCATCACCTCTCCCATCCTTTTTTTTCTCTTCATCACACTCACAAACAAACAATCTTGAATACAAACAATCAACTCAACCAACCAAATCAACAACCAACCTACTTCACAATGGAGACCATCAAGAACGCCGCCAACTACGTTTCCGAGTCTGTCCAGCAGGCCGGTGCCACCGCCTCCAAGGAGACCAACAAGCAGGTCGCCAAGGATGACAACGTCTCCATCGGCAACCGGTAAGCTTCAGTCCTGTCTTCTATTTCATCGATTTTCACTAACAAAAATTTTCAGTGCCTCCGCTGCCAAGGACGCCGTCGGTGACAAGGTCGACGAGACCAAGCACGACTTCAAGGGCGAGGGCTACAAGGAGCAGGCCAAGCACTAAATCACTCCTACGATACCCAAACACCAGGGAGATTTTCAATGGGCAGGCGTTTGGAACGGACCGGATAAGCAATGAGGCAGGAACACCTGGGAGTTGATCACGGATCTCACACCTAGAATAGCTTTTAATGCCACTGCATTGCTACGATATAAATGGTTCCCATACTTCTTCGTGACAATGACATGATTCACTTCATCAAGGAATTTTCCAGCAGTCAATGTTCTAGAGTTTATCCGATATAACAATCACCAAAAAAACGATTTCACGAAAGTTGCATTTCCACGACGAGCCATCTGATATAATGATGTTCGCCCAATGCAATGTTCACCCTTGCAGGATTCCCGAGTCGTGTCCACTCGAATTGATGTCTTCCCCACACCGGCCCTGGCGTTCCGGTGCACGGATCCCTGACCTAAACGTCGCAAGACCGCTGGACGTGACGAATAACGACACGGCGCAACTTCATCTACAATCGCCATTAACGACACATCGAGTCAATTGCCCTACAATCTTCTGCCTACCATGTCGAACGCGTCCTCAAGCTTGCCGCCAGATCTATTCGACCAAACAACCCTCGTCTCCCTGGCCGCAACTGTCGTCCTTTTGTCTGTCGCCATTGCCGTCTCCCGCCGAGTCCTTCACCCCGCCACATCGACGAGCTATCGCGTGCTCTTCGTTTGGCATGCCTTCGATGCATTGATCCACTTCTTCCTTGAGGGCAGCTTCCTTTACCATTGCTTCTTCTCCTACATCCCACTCGCCGACGTGCCCGACGCTGACCTCAGCGGTTTCCACCCGACCCCGGCCAACTTCCTCGGTCACTCGGATCGCATCTATGGTTCCCAGGCGGCCGGAAACAATCCCTTTGCGCAGCTATGGATGGTGTATGCACGCGCTGATAAGAGATGGGCTGGTGCGGATTTGGTATGTTGCCGAAGAGGCTGCTCGAATGACGAGATGTTTGGCTGACTTGATGGACAGGGCGTGATTTCGCTGGAGCTTTTGACCGTATTCGGCGCCGGGCCGCTGGCCGTATGGATTTGCTACAGCATTGCTAAGCGGGATCCTAAGGCCAACATCTGGATGATTGTCATCGCGACGGCAGAGCTTTATGGCGGTGGGTTTGTCACTGACCTAGTGTCGTCCAACAAGTAGCAGTACAACTAACACCACTTAGGATTCATGACCTTCTGCCCCGAATGGTTGACCGGCAACATCTACTTGGACACGAGCAACTTCATGTACCTTTGGGTGTACCTTGTCTTCTTCAACATGTTGTGGGTTTTCATCCCCATCTATGCAATCTACGTTGCATATGGGGAGATTTCTGCTGCTTTCAAGGCCCAGGGCGTTAGGAAGAACCTCTGAGCGTATATTTGAGGCCCAGGAAGCTATTCGTGCACTATCTAAAGTCAGTCGTCACCCAACTGCGCTTGTCGTAGCGTTTGATCAAAGCCAAGTGCGTATTTTCGACTTTGAACTTCTCTCATCTTTCCTACTTGGTAGCTATGTAGCCTTATATTGAAAGCTCGTATGATTACTCCGAACTCTTCTCTCCGCGTTGGCCATTATCGACATATGGCTTGTCCTCCTGATACACATCGTACTTGTACTTACTGCTCACGTGGCCGTCCCTTAGTCGAGTCTGACCCTTGCCATAGACGGTTTCGCGCAACGTCAAAGCAGGTTCCAGAGCATCAGGATAGATGCCACGTCTTCGTAACTCTGGCACAAGCAGATCTACGATATCTTCAAAAGAGTTCGGTGAAGTGACGTAGCCAAGATATAAGTCGTCCAGACCAGCAATGTCAACCCATTTCTCCATCACATCCGCCACTGTCGTAGGAGAGCCTACTGCAGAGGGGGAGATACCACTCATGGCTGCTTTTTCGCCAATCAAACGAGGCGTCCAGATTGGTGTCTCGGGCGTGGGCTTGAAATGTTTTGCAGCTTTCTGGCCTCGTCCGAATCAATTTGACCAATATCTGCATCAAGCGGTAGCTTCGCCATGTCGATACGAGTCCATCCGCTGAAGAGCGTCAAACCACCAATAGGGCTCGCGTATTGTTTCAGCTCCTGAAATTTCTCCTGGGCTTCCTTGTCTGTTCTACCCAAGATGGGAGTGAACGACAGAGAGAATTTCAAAGAGCTCGGATCACGACCCTTTGCCGCCGCGGCCTCGCGGTATTTCTCGATTTGCGCTCGGAAGAGCTCGGGTGATGGAGACAAGACGACAATGCTCTCGGGCTGATATCCGGTGGCGGCCAAGTAGGCTCTTCGGAGGCCGGATAACTGGTGGTGCCATTGTGTGCTTGTGACTGAGCTCGATGCGCAATCAGTCACAGAAGTGAGGTTGCTGACCCCATCGGTACCTTCAACTATATCACGAGCTTTATGGCTGGGCTCAATAAGAGTCCGCTGTTCAGTGTAAAAGCCCGGATCGCGCGCATAGCGGAGCAAAGCCGATGTGGTATCTTGACCGTGAATCCGTAGCAGCGTAGCGTGCTCGGTCGGTTGAGACTATTGGAGATATGGCCTAATGTGCATCGCGTGATCGGCTGACAGCCTTACGTGTGTGTGTGTGTGTGTGTGTGTGTGTCTATGGAAGCCACCAGCAGATACGAGCAGATCCACCGTCGCGGAGCAAGACCGATGATGCATTTTACCCGGCTATTGCTCAACCCACTCCGTTTCCGCCCCCGCACCCGAATAGTGACAACGGAGATAACGGAACTCACTGACGGGATCGTTTGGTGCTCAAACGAAATCCGGGTCGAATATGGCCACAATGAGATCGAACTCGCATCCTCCGCTCAGTCCGGCCTCGGCAAGCTGCCTCGTTGCCTAGCTCTCATTCTCCAGGACCAGCTCGATATCACTGTTGATGATCTCATAAGTACTCGCCCTACACTTGAGGTTGGTGACCACTGGTAGAAAAGACTATCTGAAGACCTTAAGAAAAAGAGCGAGTAAATGAACACTCGTACGACCGTGGAAGAGCCTGTACTGACCAGCATTTCCTTGCAGCATGTCGAGACAGACAACGCAAGAAGGAATAAAGAATACTCTTCTTCACCTTTCGAAATGTAAGTCGAGCTATTCGGTGAGTCTGTCTTTTCTGTGTCTCCAGAACTCACATCACTGCTACTCTAGATATGGCCCCTCCTACTGGGGTAACGAGAATGGTCAAAAGTACGGTTATCATGCGTTGCCACTTTAATCAAAGAGAATTCAAAGCTTAATTGTCGTAACAGAATACCTCCTCTGGAACCTTTCGAGCAGTATGAGCACAGCAAGGATGTCGATCCCTCATTTCCTTCTCTTCTAAAAGAAGGGACCAAGATCTCGGACATCGCGGTATCCATCGGCGCCAAGGTCACTGGCGTTCAACTCTCGCAGCTCGATGACAAAGGCAAGGACGAACTCTCACTGCTTCTGGCGCAGAAGAAGGTATTTCATCGTCACAAGTCCCGGTGAAATATATCTGACTGATAGACAGGTTGTGGTTTTTCATGACCAAGACTTCGCAACTATCCCGATCCAGCAGGCTGTTGATTTCGCAGGCTATTTCGGAAGGCTGCACGTCCATCCAGTTAGGTAATGCACTTTTCTTCACAAACACTCCTAGAATCATCTTTTACAAGTAACAAGGCTCATAACAGCTTCTACAGTGGCGCGGCGCGAGGGTTTCCACAATTGCACATGGTATACTGAGGACCCGACAGTGCAGACCATGACGGTTTCCTGAAGACTAGAACCACGTCTGTCTCATAGCATAGCGATGTCAGCTATGAGCTGCAGCCTCACGGTACTACAATGTTGTCCGCTATCGATGTAATCGAGAGCGGGGGTGTTACTCTGTTCGTCAACCAGGTGAAGGCCTACGAGAGGCTGACTCCCGGATTTTGTGAGCGCCTGGCTGAGCTCAAGGTCGTGCACTCGGCATACGAGCAGGCCCAAACCGCTCTTGGAAAGGGCGGACAACTGAGACAAGACCCCATTACTTCAGTGCATCCTCTGGTGCGAACTCATCCGGCAACAAGAGAGAAGGCGTTGTACATCTAGCCTCAGTTTGCTCGCTCGATAGTGGGTTATACGAAAGATGAGTGATGGTCTTCTCAACTTTATCTACCATCATATAGCTTTGAGCCATGACGTTCAGTGCCGTTTCAAGTGGAGCGGCCGCTCTGTCGTTGTATGGGACAACAGGGTGACGGCACATTCTGGTCTGATGGACTGGAAAGGGCCTCGCTACCGGTATATCGCTCGTCTGGCTGCCCAGGCGGAGGTGCCAACTGAGTATGATCCTAGTCGACTTTTACAAGATTTCCCGAGGCTTAAGACTTGCTCAAGAGGACTGTTCGAAGGAATTCTCGGAACTTATGACTGGAGTTTCATGTGCTTCGGATCCCTCTGCAGTGTCTCTCACTCGGGGCATCGTGTACGTGACTGGAAGAAGTTCACCAATAAGGGCTGCACAGTTGCAGATCCGATATTAGGTGTACAAAGTTGGCATTTATCAATTAGTCACCAAGTTCAGAAGAAATAGCCGTTTGGACCTTTCTGCAAATTTCCCGACACGGAACCTACAACTTGTACATGCATACGGGTTAGAGAAGCATTAAAGCCAGGAAAAGAATGTCCTTTCTCGTATACACGGCTCCAGGCGAGTGAGATACAGTCGTGCACCTCCCCAGAATCGCCGCCATTCTACTTGACTCGTCTTGGGCGGATAACTCGAGCAAATTCTTGTTCCGTAATTACACCACCTTGTATCTGCATCATCAGCAGCAGCAACTGCTGCGAAAAGTATAGCGACGAGGCCGAACTTCATGGCTAGATTGGAATGGACCGAGAGAGATATGAATTAATGATTAAGCTTAAGCTGATAATGAGGCGAACATATCCGCAAAGGGCAAGAGACATCATCGTATAAGTATCGCTCTTGTTTGAAGTCGAAGTCGGCGATGAAGCAAAGTCGGCGGCGTCGGAAGTCCAGCTCACCGAAGTTAAGAGCCGGAGGGCCGAGATATCCACTCGAGAGAAGACTCACAGATTGTCAATCGGGCTAATGAACTATCTGACCCGTGGGGTTTATGCTTTTTGATGGTGGATCGAAAGCCATTCTAATTGATCTCATGGGTTTAAATTACGGCTGTTGGGAAGTCAAATAAATTGGACGTAATTTGCCTAGCCACCGTAAAAGTCCATGCTTTTTGAATATTCTGCGAGGGGGTTGCGTGATGCTGGCCAACATTTGTTTGTTTTTAACTTCTATTGGAACAATCCGGCTATATAGATCATGATAAATTGGGTACTACACTTATTGCGTACGGCGAGGTTAAGTGTAAGCATGAACGCCACTTTCTTACCACACTCCGAGGGCTTAGCTGCTCAGAGTCTACTTTAAACCAATGGCGAAAGGGAAATCACAGAGGTTGGAAAACCTGTGAAAGCTCAAGAACGTTCTAATGACAATCAGTGGTGTACATACAGGCCGAAAGTGAAGTGAGATGTAGCGCAAAGCCGATGAGAGCTGAGCTCTGCCGGAGCCCAAGCATGTAGAACTTAGCCAAGCTCGTGACATAAAGTGTTGCCTCTCTAAGCTCCAAACGACGTTTCCGAGTATCATTTGAGATAAGCAAAGGTTATGGTTTCCACAGGCTCTTGGTCGGGAACGATTTCTTGATCGAGCCTACTCAAGCCGGGCAACGTCAACCGGTACACCCGCTCGGCCAACACCACGTCCGGTCGACCGAGCCAGGAACTGAATTGTATTGACAAGATGAAAGAACTAGCAGTGGAACAGGCAGCTATTCGTTTTCAACACCGCCGGCATGAACACTATGAGAGTTTCCATCGGCTTGTTTGGCGTACGTTATCCGCGTATAGTTGATGGGATATCTACGTGAACGAGTATCAAACATATAATGAGAGCATTGATTTATACGAACCGGAGAAATTTCAGCTAGGGGATCAAGACTTCTGATAAGACTTGACTCAACTGAAGAAAGCTGGACCACTTATGTCCAACGCTGAACACATGTATACTCATGGCCAAGGACTATGGTGAGAGCACTCACATGTTCTCTCATATAAGCCTCATCGTAGAGGAGAAATGTGATGTCTACTATGAAAAGAGCAATCCCAGCACTGGGGGTTTTATTGCTCATGTCTTTCCAAGGCTCGAGAATTGTCATAAAGCTTGCATGGAGTCAAATCAGGTCTTGTCTTAGAATACGTTGACATGGTCACTTTACTAAGTTAGAATGATGATAGCCATAAGGATTATGAACCTGAACACGCCTCTTGGCCTCCTGAGTATTTCCGATTTATCTGATTCATTTCAATGTACAAGGAGCAAAGACTCCAAGCCAGAATGACGCGAGAGTTGGCGGTAGAATGAGACAGAAATCGAGCCACGCCTCCTTCTCCTCCTGCCCGCCAAGACTAACAATGAAGGACGGGACCATGAACTGCTTCCCCGGGCATTCTCAATCCGTCCTTCGAAGCGATTGCGTGAGCTCGAGCAGCGGTAGTTGGGATTCCCATTCCCATATGCCCCCAAGTTCCCCAAACGCGACCAATCGGTTAGAAACCGTCCCAAAAACAGTCCGAATGCTACCTCCTGCGACGACAAGCGGCGGCCTCGCTATCGGCACCACATACCGAATATCTTTGATACCGTACATTCTCACACCTGCAGTATTGATAAGAGAAGGCCTGACGTGGGGCCGCCTGCCTTTCCAACCCCTACATTGAGACTCCTACTGAGGCAATCGGTGACGAGAATCCGATTCTTCAGATGTAGCATATCCTTAAAGACCGCCTCACGTCGTCATGACGACTAGTGGTTTACTCCGGGGTAGCATCTCAGATGTGACGACGGGTGCGAGAGAGGACGGGAGGGGAGGCGATCTACCGGACGGTATGTGGGAAGTGTGTCATAGGGCGTTACGGGGACCCTCGAAACCTCGTCAAATCGGATCAGCGTATAGCAAACTCCCCACAACGCCCTGAGGCTCTTTTTTTGCCCTTGTGGAGGATCTCATGTTTTATCGAACGAGGTGTTGGGGCGATAGCCCCGTGTAGCCCACCGTCGGGCTGTTGAGTCCGATGTCCTCGTATTGCCGTGAGGACCGTACTGGACCGGGCCGCCCACGTTTTGTTTCGAGAGGATTTCCTCGCAGTAAAGAATGAAGCCAATCGGGGGTTATTCGTATTGATGAGATGTACGTAATAGGTTTTCAAGTACGACTATGGGAAAGTGGACTTTGTCTGAAGGCCTTTGATATTATCAGTGCTGAGATCTTGTGTCTGGAGCAACTGCCGTCTAGGCATCGGGGTGGCTCAAGCTACCTAACCTACAATTATGCTCGATAATATAGCCTGAAGACATTTAGTGACCTAGATAATCCTCAGACTATCGTGCTAGATGTTAAACCCCAGGCGAGGCCCGGTGGTCGACATCCGCCTTGCTCTCTTCGATCAAGGTCAACTTAGCATCTTCAAACCGTCACATACGACCATACCCATTGGAAAACTCGGGATCCCGTCCGCTCTCCCATAGATAAGCCAATGAGGGCCGGATTAGTAGTTGGGTCGGTGACGACCAGCGAATACCTGGTGTTGTATGTTTTTGAAGTTTTGTGAAGCTATCGTGATCCACCTGTGGGCGGTGGGCCGCTGGTGGAGCAGCCGGGCACTCGGAGTGCTCACAACAGAACCATACCCGGAGCTATCACGCATACACGTCTGGGTGTAATCAATGATTTAATTACTTTACAAGTATATTTGCCGTATTAAAATTCTTTTTTACCATCAGAGTTGGCGTGGATATCACAACGCTCAGTTTAGAATCCCATAAGACCGCCCAGCTAACGATTCTATGGCCGCGAAATCACTACTAACACCACGAGTCACCAAACTCAACCGGGCCCTTCACTTCTCAAGCATTGACCAAGATATTGTGCGGGGTTGGAATGTGGCCTTGTGGGCCACTTTGACGTTGGCTTTTGAATGGTTTTCTTCTTATTTTGGACACTATCTTGATTAAGCAATTCATCAAAAAGGCTGGGCTAGAGTATATCTATAGATGAGTTTGTGCCGACCGGAACGAGATGACCAGACAGGACACCGGAGAAAGAGCTGCTTGACGGAGCTGAACTATGTTGTCAATGTAATGAATATAGCTCTTCATGTGTGATCGGCTTCGGCCACGAATCATGTGCCCCGAGTTTGCTCAACGCTGCCCAAGGTACATACAACCAAGGTCAAACAGAGCCTCCCGAGCAGTTCGCTCCGGCATGTGAACCACGCGGCAACGACGTTGCCGCCGTGTGTTGGGAAAAGCGAGAAAGCGGCATTACCGATGAAAGAGGAAATCTGGTGGCGCGCCGTCAATCCATCGTCGGCCCGTCTGCCTTCCACAAACGGCACGTACTCCTGCCGGCCGATCCAGGCAAGCCTAGCTAACGAAGAGCGTACAAGCCTGAGTAAGCAGCACGCAGTCTTCAGTCCCTAATTCCCCCGCGCCGCACACAATCATCGTGAGTCAGTTGCCCATCTTCGTTTTCGCATCTCACCTGACAGCACTCTATATGCTCCATCGTCTGAACCGAAAAAGATTCGGATAGCCAAGCAGAGGGGCGGAGAGCCCTGCCGAAAAAAGGGACCATCGTCCGGTCGAGGGAGAAAGACTCACCCAGTACACACGAGTGTAGTGCCCAGCATTGGCGACTATGCGGACCGGACCCTTTGGATGGCCAACGGGGGCGCAACTGTCGTCTAAACTTTTCATTTGCATGCCCAGCACTTGCCAAGGCGACGTACGTTGAGGTGAACGAGTCGGGGCACCGCTATAATTGCATGACGAAGCGGCTCTCTACGTCCAACACTTGTTGTTGTTGAATACCCGGGTCAAACACCGAAAGACGCGTGCGGCAGGCAGCGAAAAGCCGCCGACTCGACTGTCGTCTATTCTTTTGTTAATGGTTCGTCATCTCATAGCTCCAATGAAAAGTCAAATCGTGCCAGTGACGACGCCTATTCCGAACCTGAGTCGTTTTGGTTGGATAGATTGTTAGCCGCGATGCCGTGGACTCGCTCCCAGAGGACAGAGAAAACAAATCTCTCCCACTTTCCGGACGTCGAGCAGTCATTCGCAGGCGCGTTGGTGATGATTGGAATGAAACACCCGCGCCAGAAGAGGCTCACTGCTACCGCCCTCGCACTCACTTCAGACGAGTCCATAACCAAATGCTGTTAGATGACATTGGATGACCCCCCCCCCCCCCAAAGCCGCGGGGTTTAGGAGAATTCTCAGAGGGGAATGGATGGGAAGGCAATGGAGAATGGTTTTGGATGGCAGTTTCTTGTCATCCCCGTTTTCCAACATTTCGTCTCATGAACACCAGGTGGAGGTGGCAACGTTGCCAAGAAGATTGCGTTGGTGATCCTCAAGCAGTGACTTCCTAAAGGCAGCTTCTCATGACGTCGGTCAAGACCCGTGAAGCCAGTCGACTGATAAGCTGCCGTGCGAGGTTGGTGATGTGGCCAAGTCGAATCCCAAGTGCGGCTCGGGAGAAGCGGCAAGCACCCGTGGCACCGTCGAGAACCATAGAATCATGGAACCCTCAAATGGAAGAAAGCGGCAACGTGGAATCTGCGAGTGGCAAGCGAGTTCGGGCGAGGGATTTGGCCCTGTCCGCTATAATTGGACATCGTAAGATGGCGACCGCGGAGGGGTAGTCGCGATGTCCGTCCCTTGGCTGTACATCAGTCTGAAAATCCCGTTTGATCGACGGCGAGGACCGGATCAGCAGCCAACGTGGGTCTCCCCGGACTGACGGGACGCTGGCGAGCCCCAGTGATGCGAGGTGGGCTTAGGGCGCGGCGACGGCCACAAGCCCGCGTAGAGTGTAGTCCCTCATCATCTCGGAGCAACCATATTCCACCGGCTAGTTGGTCACGGCGGGCATTCTTGGTCGGTGGGGGCGATGCAGCCAAGCGTTGAAGATTCGGTTCAAGGTTGTGACTAGTGCCCCAAGCTAGCAGCGGCCTCAATATCCGTAGGGTTGACATGTTGGAGATTAATTAAAGTGTTTGACGGCCATTGGCACCTGATGCGGGTTGGCGTCATTCTTGTCTTCGGAAGAATAGTGTCGCACTACTGACTAGTCTTTGAGTTTGTCCCCGTGTATCCGTTGTGTTGGAGTCGCTCGAAAACTATCACGGATGGCCCTCTTTTTTCCCCCTCGCAGATCGTATCAGCTGTCAATGAGGGGAACCAAGGGACTCTCGACTCAAAAATCCAAAGGATAACTCGGTGATCTTCAAGAGATTACGACGGACGCGCCATCGTCTATAGGCGTCCCGTGGCAAACGTCGAGGGATCGCCCTTCCCCGCCACGCCCGCCCCCAAGCGACGGATGATGGACGTTCGCGTGTTCCTCCTCAGTAGTTCGCGCAAGGTGCATGTCTTGCTTGTCTCGTCACTTTTGACATGCCGCCAGTCGCAACGCCGTCACATTTCGTATGGGGCTAGGGAGGTCTGACGTGCCAGACAGATCTGGGCCTACTGTGCTCGCAGGGCTCGGTGCCGTCAAAACAGCATTACCCTAGCCGTGGAAGGAATAGCCTGATGTAAGTGTGCATGCTCAGCAGGGCTGTTGACGGCATCGATCCTTGTCGTTGGCCCTCGTCCGAGCCCCTGTGCAGGCCATCTCAGCTCAGGTGACACGGCATCTGCCTCATCGCTCGAAAATCTGTGGAAACAGACGAACTTGATCAACCGTCAACGGGATTCGATTCGCTCACCATAGGCTGGTCGATTACCAGACGGTATGGGAACCATTGGATGGCGCCCTGTTCGAACTTGGAAGCTCTCCCTCAGTCCTCCTCAGGCAGCCTGGCTCGAGATATTTGAGATTGAGAAAGGTTTGCAACGGATGCCCTGGCAACACCGAGCCCCGTGACAAGGGTAGACACGTGCAGGAGTCCAGGACCAAGATAGCTGCAATAGCCCAGGCCCTCCGACTGGCAGAAACATCCCGTGAAAAGGGCTAGTGGGCCAGGTCGAGTCGATGAGGAAGTGAGAAGCCGCCCCGCCGTGTGGATTGTGTTTGCACGGCTGGCTGGTGGCTACTGGCTAGGCGTTGACGTTGACGCCGCCCTCTCCGTGCGCCTCCCTAGTGTATCCGTACATGACCGCAGCGACTCACGATCGGGCATAATTCGCAAGTTGCAGCGCTGACTCGATACACACCAACGGGCTGGTCTGCGCCTCTTCCAGTACTGGGCGTTGTTCCTCATGTGTTGTCCTGCTTGATTGCGTTGACGTGGCTGTGGACACATCGATTGCCAACCAAGGGTTTTTGGGCCGATGTGATCCATGAGGCCATTCCCAACCCATCTACCATCTGCAGCGTGGAGGAGAGCTTCTCGCATCCACCGAATCTCCAGAGGAACTCGGCACACCAGACCAGATTAAACAGCATCGGAGCAAAGATGGGGCCGCAGAAAACGACACGATTGGGTAGGCAGAGTGGCAGACTGTAAGGAGGGGTTGAGAAGAGAGGGTTGGAGGAGAGGGAACGAAAAAGGTTTCGGCATCGCCATCAGCCGCCCCTTCCACAATCCCTGCGGCGGTTTGATCCACTCACTTGGCAACACTGCACTAGTCCTAGAACAGCAAGGCGCACAAAGGTTGTCTCCTAGTGCCCCCCAGATTTGGGGCTCAAGTCCAACATCAAACCTTGTCGACTTCAACCTCACAGCCAGGGGCTCAGGCATTTTGGGCTATACTACGAAACCCAGACGTGTTACATCACTGCTTCACCTCATCGCCACTCAATGCCATCGCCTCAAGCCCTCTCTGTCTCTCTCTCTCTCTCTCTTTCTCTCTCTCTCTCTCTCTCGCGCGCGCGCCCTCAACCTCACCCAACCTCACCCTCACTCTCAGTCTCTCGCCCACTCTCTGGCACTGGCCCCTCGAGCATCGACGGGAGGAGACGCATGCATCGCTCCAGCACACACACGCTGCACCTCAGGCACCCTCAGCACATTCCGCCGGCTTTTTGCGATGAGAGACTGCGTGAGAGCCCAGTTTTTCTCCTCTTCAGCCCCTCCTCCCAAGGTTCCCATGGCTTTCGTATCGTCCAGCTGGAGCACCTTGCTCCGCTGGAAGGCAAGGGGCTTGAGAGGCAAGCACGGGAAAGAATCCCAAATCAGTCCCAGCCAGAGAGTCGGCAGCGGGGTCGTTGAGTGTGTGACGAACATGGTTGTCATCCCGCGCCCAGCCCTGTCTTCCATGTCTTGAGCCCTCTCTACGAGGACCAAGACCAAGATACCTACCACACTGAACGTGACAAGTCGAGACTGTATGGTGGCCCGTCGAGTCTACCCCCAAGGGCCCAAACCAGCAACATGCACGTCAAGAGACGTTCGCCCCATCTGAGCCCCTCACTGCCCATCATCCAGTCGCACGTCGACTCGAGGTACAGCCTGCGTCTCATTCGCTCGTTCCTGTTCCTGTCCCCGTCTTCTGGATGGCCCGTCTTTCCATCCTTGCTCTGGCCCTCTCTGCCACTCTGGTACATACATAGACTGTAGACTGTAGACTGTAGACTGGGAGGCCATCCATCAGCCGTGTTACCCTGGACCAAAGTTGGACTTGGGCCCCATTTAGCGGTTTGGCTAACTCTCCGGACCTCATCTGGCCCGCGCGGGGGCCCTTCCCGAGCCTGTCCCTTGCAACTTGCGACTATCTACGCAGTATGTTACCTGGCCCCCTGCTTGAGGTGGGCCTCTCTGTCCCTGCCACGCTTTCTGTGATCGCCTTTTGACCTCTTCATGCGGCCTTCCCTCCTCCTCCATCCCGTCTGACTTTTTGGAACTGGTCTCTTTTTTCCCCTCCTTCAGGCTGGTCCCTTTCCTTCTCTTGAGTGGCTGGTCCTATTACTCCTTGTTTCTATTCGTAGGTCCCGACTTCGCCTAGTGTCTGTTTCGTCTGGTCCGCCTTCTTCGTCCAAGAGCGGCAGTCCATTACCATCCATCCTGTCTTTTCACTTACTCTTTTCACTTCTCCATCCCATCCGTACGATCGCCATCCTCCTCCTCCTCTTCTCCTCACTCTCCTCGCCATCCCTCTTCGCCTCAAATCAACTACCTCTTCACACCTTCCTTATACGACAGGGACACAACATCGACTCTTCTATGGATTAGATGGTTAGGAAAGCGAATTAATATCTGGCACCGCTGCGGCTCGACGCCTGCGCTCATCTCTTCGACCAGTGCCAGTTGAATAATCGACGAGATGGATAGCTGGGGATATGGAGGCGACTTGTGGACGAGGGCCGACGATGACAGCGTGACGGACGGTAATGGCGTGGCGGATTCATTACGAGGGCCCTTCAAGGCTACCAACAACTCGACATCAGCCATCATCAACCAGTTCCGCTTCCAAGCCGCCAAATCGATTCGAACCTCGACCATCATCCTCGCCGTCTTCAACGTTATCGCCGCATTTGCAACAGCAATTGGTATTTTTTGGGACGGTTATGCGACGGCCAAGAGGAACAACCAAAAGTTCGGCTTCAGGTATGCTCATCATTGCCGGCACGGATGAGCCAGATCAATGGACTAACACTCTGTTCCAGAACGCATGGGTTCACCTTTGTAGGACCTGCCGAGTCGTTTCCTCTCGTCCTGTCTGTCGGTATCGTCGTTCAAGGCATCGTCTTTGCCATTGCACAGTCGACTGGACTCGACCATCTCTTGACCTTGGGTTGCACCATCACCTCCCAAATGATGCTGCCTGGTCCGTAGCCCTCATCTACTCACCCCCGAAGCTTGGCTAACAATCGGATCTAGCGGTCTTCATTGTCCCGTACATCCAACTCGTATTCGCTCTCGAGGTGGCCATCCGGTCTCTACGAAAGAACCCACTGCCGTCTCGTGGCAAGTGGAATGTTACCATTTGCCTCGCCATCGTCGGCACTTTTCTTCTCATTACTTACCTTGTCACCCTCTTCGTCCGCCCTCCCAACTTCTGCTTTGCCTCGCTTTTCTGGTTTGTCCAGCGCTGGAAGGAGGGCTGCTTTGTACTCCTCACTTTCATCTCAGCGGCGTTGCTGGGCTCGGCTCTGATCATCTTCTTCCGTCTCCACAACAACATCAGAATTGAGAACAGCGAGCGTATTGCCGCCTCTAGGATGGTGTACTTCCTGGCAGTCGCCTTCATCTCGACTGTGAGTACCAAACTATCACGCCTTATCCAAGTTACATACTAATCAATGCAGACTCTTCTCATCCCCTTCTTCTTCAACCTCTCTTTCACGGAACAGCGAGGTGCCACTGGCCAGGCCCTGACGCTCTCCATGATTGCCTCCGTCGTTGCCAACGTATCTGGCCTATTGACTGGCGGTCTGCATCTATTCTTGCGATCAAATACTTTGTCTACTATCGGCCCCCGCCAAAGCGACAAGTGGGAGTCGGAGCGTAATAAACTCAAGGCCGGCATTCGTGTCTATAATGGCGACGATGATTACGAAAACCACATGATGAACCCTGTCGGCCGGGCTCGTTCGCTGCGACGCATGGACAGCACCGACAGCCTCGTGCCTGAGAAGGAGGAGGAGGAGGAGGCACGCATCGAGAGTCCCTCTGGGTCTCCCACCTATGCCAACCCTCTCCGATCCAACGCTGTGTGGCAGCCGGTTCGCTCACCTCTGAGGACGCCGGAGCCTGTTCAGGTATCAACCTACCAGGTGCCCAAGGCTCATGGCCGCAAGAGGTCCTACTCCTTGTTCCCATCTGAACAACAAAACAACAACAACAACACCAAGTCAATCACTCTGCTACCGGCGAAGACATACGCCCCGGGAGCGAGAATTCCCGACGAGGACGAGATGATGTTACTCAGACCTCCACCATCCCTCCATCCTCAGGGAATCCGCCATCGTCGCGATTCATCGCTCGCATCTTCAGCGACCGTGCAGATTGGCCTGCGGCTGTCGAACGTCGATGACATGCCTCCGCCCAACTCACAGTACTTCCAGAACAATGCCAGCGTGAACAGCTTGAGCTACCCTGATGAGCAGGACGACATGCCTCCCAAGCGGCCCAGCCCCTTGGCGCAGGTAGACGTCCTGAGCGACAGCGGTTCATCCGACTCTGAGGAGGATGCTACCTTGGTCTCGTCCTCTCCCATCCGATCTCAAAAAGATTTGCGGATGAAGACACTTCCGTCCGTTCCCAAGGTCACTGTACCCAGGCAGTCCCAGATCAAGGAGCAAGAGCCGGAGCAGCTCACTCTCAGCCCGGCGGTCTACAGGCCTGAGAGCCCTCAAAAGACGAGGGTGACCAGCCCTCAGGGTGTTGGCTTTAACACCCCTGCGCAACGAAAGAAGTCGCCGGTCAGATGCACCAAGCAGAATTGCCAATGTTCCGCTGAACACGACAAGCGCAACTGGATCTAAACTTGATCCGCCAACTGTACCAACACTGGCGTTTATCGCACGCGCTACAAAAAAACCCCCCCCAAAAAAACCCGTTATAGACACTCGACTAAACCGGTAAAAAGCGTATGATGCAGCTTCTCGGCTACTGAACGGAGTTGTTGGCGAATTATTTTCTCTTATATTTACTATTTCATTGGACGGCGTTTCTATGCGGAGATACCTGTATGACTAATAACGTCTACATATTGTTTGTTTCTTTATCTCTTATGGCGATGTGCCTCAAAAGGCACATTGTGTACGATCTGGGGGGGGGGGGGGGGGGGGGACAAGGCTTTCATTGGACTGTAGGAGAACCCAGTAAAAGGAGGAATCAAGAGTCTCGGACTACCAAATGGAAGGATGGCAATGATGACGGTATGACTAGCTACGAGACGGACTTGGGTGAGCGGAGGTAAAGGCCACTAGAGGGCTCTACATCACAGAAGAGATAGCTCAATGAACCAAAGAGCTCAAAATAATCATGATGTCGTCGAACCACGTTTGTGAAACCGTGACAAATGCTAGCCACCTCGCACACCACAACTGAAGTCTAGTAAGCTGACTGACATGAGGTCGGGACATTAGTGGTTCACTGAACGCACACTAAGTGTCGAACTGTCTCCTGACGTGGTAGAAAGTCTGCGCTGACATAATGAAAGCCACAGTGAGGAGGCGATACCCATAACAAGGCTGAGGCTTTCCCGCTTTACGTAGCTTGGAGAATCAACCTAATTGGGGCCCAGCTCTCAAGAGAAACCACATTGTTCCACACTCACCCTGCCTTTCTATCCGAGAAATTCCTCACTCTTTACCAGAATATGGGTTCAACCCTCTGACGGTATCATGGGGTGCCCCTAATGGCGTTTTGAGGGGATCACGAGACTATTGTGCAGAGAATCGGCAAGGCCGGCTATCACTAACGCACAGTTGAATAGCAAAGCCCGCGGTAATGCATTTGATTTATTTTGATGCTCAAGGCTCTGCGGAACTCCATAACGCAATAAGCCAACGCAGCTCTTCTGTCATTTCGTCTTCTGCTGGTCTGCCTCAACACGCCTCTCCTCCCACTTATCCCAGCCAGCCTGGCATGGGTCTTCTTCCACAACCAGATCCCGAAACCTGAACAGCCGCGCAACAGGCGTCTGCAGGCCCCAGGCCAAGAGCCCAAAGTCCCTCGCAATAGCCGTGACCAAGAACCAGCCGATAGCACACACCGTCCCGGCCAAGCACCCCACCATCACCTGCTTCTCGGTATGGTAATTCAAGTATATCCGGCTCCACGCCACAGCAGCAGCGATGCCCAGCGCGGCGACGCTGACCACGACGCGCTCGACGAGCGAGTACGGCCGGTGGTGCCGCCGCGCGGACGAGGGACGGTGCCTGACCAGCAAGAAGAGGACGAGGAAGACGGACCAGTAGGCGACGAACTGGGCGTGGGAGCTGGGCATGCCGTAGCCCTTTCCGTGGATGCGGCGGGGGCGCTCCTCCTTGATCAGGCGCTTCAGGGCGAAGTTGATGGCTTCGCAGCCTAGCTGGCCGGCGAACATGAGGGCGATTTCGACTTCGCGGGTGGACCAGATCAGGGTCGCGTAGACGATGCAGAGGGCTTGCGGGAGCAGGGCGAGCCATGCGCAAAGGAAGGAGAGGGAATCGTCGGGGTCCTGGTAAGTTTTGAGGTTTAGTTTAGCTAAGTCACTTGGTAGTAAGGTAGGTTGTTCCCTGGGTCTGGTCTCACATAGTAGACGTGTGTCAGGGAGAGAGAAGCTAGTGGTCTCGTGTCTTGGTCCATGGTTTTCGACTCGACTGCATTTGCCCGACCCTGAGTTTCGATGTGACGGCTCTTTTTTCTTGAAGGGGGAGGGAATAACGAGAGGGATCTGGAGTGTTCTTAAAGGCGAGATTCCATGTGCCTCGGCAGCAAGAGAAAGAGGTTGGGCGATCGAGAGATGCTGGGCTGACTGACTGACTGGCTCCTCCTAGGGGCTGGTAAAGTTAGAGCAGACGTCGCGGATCGTGGTGCACAGCACTCTGGAAATGTCAAAGTGCAGCTGTGCAGAGTGCACCGGGTCCTTCTACAGCCAAGCTTCTATTTCTTCTTTCTTGTGTACTTGCATAAATACGTCAGGTTGCATAGCTCCGAGCTCGGGCCAATCGGGAGCTTCCATCTCCCCGCCAGCGCGGCTCAGTAAAAGGTAAATGTTCTGTGGCTTTGTGGCTTGAAGTGTAGGTCAGCCTGGACCCTTCGTGCCTTCCACATTCCCTACCTGAGGTGGGTTGTGTTCTTTGTCACTCCTATCGGCCGAGGACTGACTGATAACGAATGACCCCACCGTCATTCTTTTTTGCTGCCTCTTTTTGCCCCGCGATTCCAACGGCCAAAGAGTCATCATTTCATTGTCTGTCCGAACAGACCGTCAGCCATTTTTTTGGATCCAGGCGCTCTTTGCAGCCGCGATCTCTCTTTCCTATTACCCGCGCTAAACTACCTACACTTTGGCCCAAGAAGAAAAGAGAAGAATGGTCCCGTCGTAGCCAGTCGCACTTCTCGCGGGTTCCGCGACCGTCCCCAGTTTATTTCCAATCATCACCACAACGCACTCGCCAACACCACCAAAACTTTGCGACTTTCGCCACCAGTCGTCTCTCCGCGTTCAAATACCCATCTCCCATGTTCGTCGCTAATTCACACGAGCGCAAGAACCCACTCGCTTTTTGACGACTTCTTGGCAGGCTTTGATTTTTATTTTCCTCAAAGCATGAAATACGCGCCTTCCGACCAGTAGCCATGGATGACGATAGCGATGACCCGCGCCAGGATGAGCTCAGCTCTCTGCAGGCAATCTTCCCCGAAATCGAGCTCGACGATCACCTGCCCTTTTGCTTCACCATCGAGCTACCCGTTCATCCCGCGCAACCCGTAACGGTCACCTTCCCGGCCGCCTCCAATGCCGACGACAAAGCCGCCGCCCAGGTTCCCGGCGTCGAACCTCGAGTCGACTCCCACGAGCTCTCGCACCTTCCGGCCGTCGTGATCCGCATGGGTTTGCCCAAGGGCTACCCCTCCGATAAGCCCCCGAGCGTCAGCATTAGCACATCGCCGCCGTGGATTTCCGAACCTGTGACCAAGAAGTTGGAGGACGACGGACCGAGATTATGGGAGGAGATGGGTCGCGACATGATCGTCTTTTCTTACATTGACCAGATCCAGCAAGCGGCCGACGAGGTTTTTGGCATGGTTGACGAAGCTGGCGCGCTGGAGATCGACCCGTTACACAAGATTGCCATTCTGGACTACGACATTGAGGCTGCTCGGGCGGCATTCGAGAAGGAGACCTTCGATTGTGGTATTTGTCTGGGTATGCTTGTCCTCCGCACCCAAAAGTTCGTGGCTGCTAACGCTTACCATCGGCAGATCCCAAGAAGGGCGCAATGTGTCACAAGATGCTTGATTGCGGGCACATCTTCTGTACTCAGTGCTTGCAGGAGTTCTACAGTAATGCTATTACGGAAGGAGACTTGGCGACCGTCCGCTGCCTCGCTCCGAACTGTTCCAAAGAGCGCGCCGAAGCGGCACGAGGCCCGGGCAAGAGCAAAAAGAGAAAGGTCAAAACCTCGATCAGTCCTAGTGAACTGCTCCAGATGGGACTGCCCCAAGATACGGTGACTCGCTACGTGACGCTCAAGTACAAGAACGAGCTCGAATCCGACAAGGACACGATCTACTGCCCCCGGTCGTGGTGCCAGGGCGCGGCCAGGTCCAAGAAGCACAGGAAGCCCGAGGGACTTGAGACGATCGATGGGAGTTCGGATGAGGAGACGGAAGACGAGATCGACGCTGACGGGGAAGACGGCGCGGGCGAGAAGAAGAAAAAGGCGAAGAAGAGCTTCGAGACTGGAGATCTGCTGGCCATCTGCGAAGACTGTGGCTTCGCTTTCTGCAGCCGCTGCTACCAGTCATGGCATGGCGAGTTCATCAGATGTACGCCCAAGCGAGACACGGGCGAGCTCTCCGAAGAGGAGCAGGCCTCGATCGATTACATCAACCTGCACACGACGCCTTGCCCTACGTGTGGTGTACCGGCACAGAAGACTCACGGCTGCAACCATATGATCTGCTTCCGCTGCGCCTCCCACTTTTGCTATCTATGTTCGGCCTGGCTCGATCCGAGAAACCCATACGCCCATTTCAATGAACAGCCCAATGGCAAGGTCACTTCCTGCTATATGCGCTTGTGGGAGCTTGAAGGTGGCGATGGTGACAATGTCGACATTGGCTACGCTGGTGGAGCTCAACCAGTGCAGATCGAGCGGCTTTTGGAGATGCCGTTTCCTCCCAGGGAGCCGGTTCAGGTTATTGACCTTGTCCCCGAGATCGAAGAGCCGGATGACAGCGATTCAGATACGGAGGCGAACGATGCGGACCAGCCAGCACGTCCTCCGGCGGCGGGTGGTGTTGCTCGAGAGGGACCGCTCGTTTTACGCATAGAAGCCAATCCAGCTCCCAGGGGAGGTCGAGGAGGAGCAGGAATCGGAGCGGCACTCCACGGTCCCGTCCCGCCAGCCGCGCCGCAGGCACCGCCTGCTCCTGCGAGAAGAGGGTTCCCGGTGGCTCGAGGTGGACGTGGCGGACGTGGAGGCCGTGGTGGAGGCCGTGGTGGCGGTCGTGGTAATAACAGAGGCGGAGCAGGACAGAACCAGCAGCAGGAGGCTCGACGGGGCGCGCCGCCTCGTCGGCATGAAGACTTTGACCCCGATATGAGAGAGGGTCTGGGTGCCGGCGAGCTCGACGCAGCGCAGCAGGCTTGGATCAGAAACTTTGTTCAAATGGCGTTGGTGGACCAGGAAGAGGACAGCGACGATGACTGAACGAAACGCAGGTTCACTGTGAACTGGATGGGATTATCTGGGTACAATCGGACGGGGTGTTCACCTTTAGGTAGAAGGGGGCATGATACCGCTTGATAGCATTGCAAACTTGGAGATGACGATAGAATGATTGGGACGATGAAGGTCTGAGAAGACGATGCTGTTAATGAACTACAGCGTACAAACACTTGACTGGAACCTG